AAAACTCTTTTGGTTGCGTTGAAATTTTAGAAATTTTATGTAAAGTATTTGTCTTTTTTTAAAAAAAAATATTGAACTATTAGTTACTTGACATTTTAAAGATTTGAATTTCTAACATTAATTCCAAATTAAGATTTTTAAATCCATAGATATCAATTTAATCAAACTCTTATAAGTGAAAATATTTGTGTTTACACCTAAAATAAACCAATAGGGTAAGACCACGTGTCAAAGTAAAACCCAATTATCAAGAAAATCAATAGGCTGGATTTGGGCTGGGTTAGCTTACAATTTAATGGCCTAGACGGATTTTCAAGGGGGTTGGATCTTAGGTGGCAGAAGATAAGATTGGATCTGGTAGTTTGAATTTGATTTAAAATGAAAAATTGAGGATTTTTAGGTAGTTATCTTTAAGGTTGTTGGAGATAAAGTTAAATAAAGATCAGATAACTATTAAATAACTGCCAGACCTGCAATCCCATTACCAAATCATGGAGGAACAGTACCGAAGATCATGGAGAAGATCATGGAGGAAGTTACCAGCATCGAAGGGAACAAAAACAGAGAGAAGAGAACAGTTCAAGGCCTGCCCAACACACACACAGACTGCTCAGAGCATGTTTTTCAGCTTTCAGACTGCATTTTCCAGATTTTAGCAATAGTTTTCAGATTTCCCAGATTAGTTCATAGCCTTAGCCTAGGTTTGTTCATCTTTGTTCATATTTCCTTCCGCAAATTCCAGTTTAGATTTATTTTTAAGTATTTGGAAGCAACTTAGCCTTCAAAACAGGTTTGCCCTTTTGATTCGGTTAGTTCTTCTTCTTTTTATGGATTTAATTATGTTATTCGTTCATGTAAATAGGTTGAATGTTTTCTACCTTTGTTCTTTTGTTTCTGCACAATATCCAGACATTCAGTTTATTTAATTTCAATTTCCAGATTTGATTTTATAAGTTTTTAGACTTTAATCATTTCATAGTTTCTTCTTTAGTTTTAGTTAATTATTATGGGCTGCGTAGTTGAAATCATTGTCTGCTATTTTACTTTTTCTGTTGTCTGCGAATTTATTCTTCATGGCATGTTATGTTCTGTTCTTTTCTTCATGTTAGTTTAATTGCTTTAGGATATTGCATTTATTTTAGGATTTGTAGCTTTTATTACACTTGTTTGGTTGTAAAGTCCTTGAAGGTTTCCAAGGCAATTAGTAACCCATTTTGCAGAACTCTACCCTCTGTTTTGCAACATCGTTTGGGGCGCAATTCATTTCACAGACGTTTTTTCCAGCCATCCTATTGGAGGTCGACCGCTGGAAAGGAGAAAGGTCGTCTGGAAAATCCTATTTTCTTGTTTTTAAACAAAGCAAGTGGCACGCCTAACATCCAACTCACGTGGTAAAGGCCAGCTGAGGATTTTTGAGGAAACAATTTGTCTTTTTTTAATGGTTTATAATGAAAAATCTTTACAATTTTGAAACATTATAAGCGGTCATGTAAACATAGCTCAGGGCATATCATAACCTAAATATGAGG